ATCCAGAGGGGGGAAAACTGCAAAGTAATGTAGATCCCCTTTTTCCCGGGTCCATTGCCTGGTTGGGACATTTTTGCTGCCCAGGGCTTGACAGGAGGGGGGGATATGTACAGTATGAACGGCAAAGTGAGGAGGGAAGTATTGCCCCTCGCATGAGGTCATACGTGGGGGTGTAAGGGGGAGTCCACCCGGTTTTCGGGCCACAATGCAAGGGTTCCGAACCAGATTTTGGGCTCCCTATGACCACCAACAGGTATCCCAAAAAGGCAGGGCTGGACGGGAGTTTGCCCCGGCCTGGGCCAGAAGCTATTCTGGAGAGTGTGGCCACATACCTACAAAAAAAGGGTTTTGCGTTGTTTGTTTTTGGTGACGGGGAAAAACCCTTTCACCCTGAGAGAGGAAATTTTCCCTTTTTTATTTAGTCCTGAGGCAAGGGGGTTTTTTTATTTTACTGTTTTTTTTTGTTTGACTTTCTGGAAATATATATTACAGTTGTGGCCAAAATTATTCAACCCCCACTGAAATTGAGTGTTTTGGCCAGTTTGACATTGCTTTTGATCATTCAGTCATCTTGCTTACATTTACATTAAAGAGGCACTTGTAGGTCAGACAAATATAACATAACAGTTATAATGAAATAACCACAAATGTCTTTTCTGTGCTCACAGCATTATCAGTTTTATTCAACCCCAAGTGACATTCAATCTTAGTACTTAGTACAGCATCCTTTTACAGTTATAACAGCTTTTAAACGTGAAGCATAGCTTGACACAAGTGTCTTGCAGCGATCTACGGGTATCTTCGCCCATTCTTCATGGGCAAAGGCCTCCAGTTCAGTCACATTCTTAGGCTTGCGCACTGCAACTGCTTTCTTTAAGTCCCCCAGAGGTTCTCAATCGGATTTAAGTCTGGTGACTGCGATGGCCACTCCAAAATGTTCCAGCCTTTCCTCTGCAACCATGCTCTAGTGGACTTGGAGGTATGCTTGGGATCATTGTCCTGTTGAAAGGTCCAACGTCTCCCAAGCCTCAGGTGTGTGACGGACTGCATCACGTTTCCATCCAATATCTCCTGGTACTGAAGAGAATCATGGTACCATTGCAACACGCTGAAGCTTCCCTGTACCTGCAGAAGCAAAACAGCCCCAAAGCATGATTGACCCTCCACCATGCTTCACAGTAGGCAAGGTGTTCTTTTCATCATAGGCCTTGTTCTTCCTCCTCCAAACATAGCGTTGATCCATGGGCCCAAACAGTTCTAATTTTGTTTCATCAGTCCACAGAACACTATCCCACAAACTTTTGTGGTTTGTCCACATGGCTTTTGGCATACTGCAGTCGACTCTTCTTATTCTTTGGAGACAGCAAGGGGGTACGCCTGGGAGTTCTGGCACGGAGGCCTTCATTACGCAGTGTGCGTCTTATTGTCTGGGCTGAAACTTCTGTACCCACATCTGACAAATCTTTTCTCAGTTCCTCAGCAGTCACAACGGGGACTTCTCTCCACTCTACGCTTCAGGTAGCGCACAGCAGTCGAAGTCAGCATCTTCTTTCTGCCACGACCAGGTAGCGTTTCAACAGTGCCCTTTGCCTTGAATTTGCGAATGATGCTTCCTAAGGTGTCTCTTGGTATGTTTAACATCTTTGCAATCTTCTTATAGCCATTGCCCTTCCTGTGAAGAGAAATCACCTCTTCTCTTGTCTTCCTGGACCATTCTCTTGCCTTCACCATGTTTGTAACCACACCAGTAAATGTCTAGAAGGAGCTGAGTATCACAGTCATTTTAAAGCTGCCTAATTGGTGCTTATTATGCTTGATTGCTGCTCGGTGACATCCACAGGTGTTTTCAATACCTGATGGAAAGCACCTGTATGAACCTCTGTTCTTCAGAGTGGTAGTCTTTAAGGGGTTGAATAATTGTGGCAATGAAGAAACCACATAAGAACCATTTACTACTGTATTACATAAACAATTGATGTCATTTTAGTTGCATTTGGGTAGTTACAACGTCCTTGTAGGATTTGATTCTGAATACAATTCCAAATGTACACTATAGTCCCTAAACCCCTTTACAGCATTGGGGGTTTGAATAATTTTGGCCACAACTGTATATATATATTACAAACCTGATACATTAAGAAAATACATAGTAATTGTGTTGTTACAGTTTGCAGAAATGTGTGTCAAATTTGGGTATGTTACCTGTGGAGGTTGTGTTAATGTCTATTCACTTGGAATATTACCATACAATTTGACCAGTGGTATCCATACATTTATAACTGTATTCTGATTATTTACTTTTGAGTCAATAGGAATTTGCCATCACTCTTCTGCTAAGAAAAAAGTTAGATTATGTGCTATGTTTTTCCATTCACCACTTAATGAAATGTACATAATGATACAAGCAGGGGTGGACTGACAACTCATGGGGCCCCCGGGCAATAGGGGATCATGGGGCCCTGTGTCCTTGCCCAAACTCAAAAAAGCCTATGAAAAAGGTACCAGGAGCATCTCATGGGGCCCCCTACTGACCCCGGGCCCTCGGGCAGTGCCCGAGTTTCCAAATGGTCAGTCCGCCCCTGGATACAAGTGTACTGTACATGTGTGATGAAATTTGACGTGTCTTTAGATTCAGAATCCTTTTGTGAGAGAACTAATTATAGATACATTTATTTATGAAGTTTTTGTTCTTATTTGTAAATGTCACAGTATGTGAATGTGTGCATATCATTTGCTGTTCTTATTCTACCTTTTGGTGCTGAAATTTTGCAGGAGCTGTGCCCGTATGTTTTGCAGAGGTCTGCAACCAGACTATGACAGATTGCAGCACATAATTAAGAATAGATATGGACTACTTTCTAAACAGGTGCAATTATCTACAAATTACTTTTTTGATGCTTTTCTGAGAGCTTTTTTTTGGCAAATTTTGACACATTTAGTACACGAAATATGACATTATGATAAGTCTGTCACATTTCTATGACAAACTATGACATATTAATGGACACAATTGCCAAGACATTATTGATAAATGACCTAATCCATGTAACACAGTGCCTTGATATTGTAAAGCAGGGTAGCAAAATAATTATAATTATAAATAATTTGTGTTAACTTGTTCTTTATGCTTACACAGTTCTCCCATATCCCCAGGAAATGAAGGCATTTTATGATTATGGGAGGAAACTACAACATAATAAAATGCTGCATCTACTGTATAAAAGCATTCCTACAACATTATTATAGGTACTTATACAGTGTCAATTTACGCAACTCTTTATATATATATATATATATATATATATATATATATATACTGCTCAAAAAAATTAAAGGAACACTTTTAAATCAGAGTATAGCATCAATTAAACTCCTGGGACATTGATCTGGTCAGTTAAGTAGCAGAGGGGGTTGGTAATCAGTTTCAGCTGCTGTGGTGTAAAATGAAATTAACAACAGATACACTAGATAGGCAACAACGAGACAACCCCCAAAACAGGAATGGTTTTACAGGAGGAGGCCACTGACATTTTTCCCTACTCATCTTTTCTGTCTGTTTTTCACTAGTTTTGCATTTGGCTAGGGTCAGTGTCACTACTGGTAGCATTAGGCAATACCTGGACTCTACAGAGGTTGCACAGGCAGTCCAACTCCTCCAAGATGGCACATCAATACATGCCATTGCCAAAAGGTTTGCTGTGTCTCCCAGCACAGTCTCAAGAGCATGGAGGAGATTCCAGCAGAAAGGTAGTTACTCTAGGAGAGCTGAACAGGGCCGTAGAAGGTCCTTAACCCATCAGCAGGACCAGTATCTGCTCCTATGTACAAGGAGGATCAGGATGAGCACTGCCAGAGCCCTACAAAATGATCTCCAGCAGGTCACTGATGTGAATGTCTCTGACCAAATGATCAGAAACAGACTTCTCGCAGGTGGCCTGAGGGCTCGATGTCCTTTAGTGGGCCCTGTGCTCACTGCTCGGCACCAAAGAGCTCAATTGGCATTTGAACACCAGAATTGGCAGGTCCGCCACTGGCGCCCTATGCTTTTCACAGATGAGAGCAGGTTCACCCTGAGGACATGTGACAGACATGAAAAGGTCTGGAGAAGCTGTGGAGAATGTTATGCTGCCTGTAACATCGTTCAACATGACCATTTTGGAGGTGGGTCAGTGATGGTCTGGAGAGGCATATCCATGGAGGGATGCACAGACCTCCACAGGACAATGGCACCCTGACTGCCATTAGGTATTGGGATGAAATCCTACTCCCAGCCATTCCAGCCTAATCACCAGGTTCAGAAGATCATTGTTGGAGCAAGTTAAACCTGAAAGGGGTTCTCCAAACTTAGTTATGTCGCACTGAGCCGACTCCGAGGTCAGATTCTTTTTTTTCTTTCTAGTGGTCTCAAGAGCAACGAGGAGATGCCAGGATACAGACAGTTACTCTAGGAAAGCTGGACAAGGCCGTAGAAGGTCCTTAACCCATCAGCAGGACCGGTATCTGCTCTTTGAGGAACAGGATGAGGCCACTGATGTGAATGTTTATGACCAAACAATCAGAAACAGACTTTTAGCCCCTTGAAAAAGGGGGGATGGCTACTCTTAAGAGCTGTAATTCCTAAACCCTTCCTCCAATTTGGATGTACATACCCTCAAATTAAACCTGAGAGTGTGCACTTTCAGTCTATATCCATTATATAACTATAGCTTGAATATATGTTTTGGTAAATACCTTAAACAAACTAAAATTGTGCCTGTGTCGAAATATATATGGACCTAACTGTAGATATCCACCATGATATTTTTCCCCATTGAGATCTTATGTGTTTTCAAAGCAGGGGTGGACTGACCATTTGGAAACTCTGGCACTGCCCGAGGGCCCAGGGTCAGTAGGGGCCACATGAGATGCCCCTGGTACCTTTTTCATAGGCTTTTTTGAGTTTGGGAAAGGACACAGGGGCCCCATGATCCCCTATTGCCCGAGGGCCCCATGAGTTGTCAGTCCGCCCCTGTTTCAAAGTGTTCCTTTAATTTTTTTCAGCAGTGTATATTGTGCATTCAACCCTCAAGGGGCATACAATCTAAAGTCTCTAAATCACATTCATACATACACACACTAGGGCCAATTTAGACAGGAGCCAATTAACCTACCAATATTTTAATACCAGCATACAAATATAGTAAAAAGGTAATATTGCTGGTAAATGTAAAGAGTTTGCTGATTGCTTTGCAATATTGGAGGTGGAGTTGCAAATATGTGAATAATTTAGCCCATCTTCAGCCAAAATATTTCTTTTTGGCTTTGAGTAAAATATGGAGGCTATAAAACCTTTTATAAAACCTTTTAGGTTTTTATAACAGTCTGGGTCTCCTCTGGGGATATTTCTCCTCTGGTGACCACACAAGAAATTAGGTGAAGCTATACACCAAGTACACAGATATCAATAAACAACTGAAAGGGGTTCTATTTTCTTCCCAATCTGCTTCTGTAGTCTTCTGTGCGCTTACAAAAAACATTGTCCGTACTCCCTGTTCTAAAGGCCATACAAGAAATCAAAGAGAAATCTTTCCTGTACTGAGATCCTAAAAAAACCCCCAAAAAAACAACAACACAGTTTTAGGGTCCATGCACACTGGATTACATAACACTGCTTCTACAGGAATTTAGCAATTTGCTTATAGAAGCAGCTCAAAGTTAGTTGTCCATGCACATAAGGCCACCTGTACACTGAAACTGCCATCGACGTGACAGCAGAAAAACACTAAATGCGGTAAAACCATGTGTAAACGTGGTACTGTGTTTAGCCACGTTTACCGATTGGACATTTAATTGTTTCATTGGCCAGAGAACATGCCATTGAAATTAATAAATGTCCGAATACGGCTTGATTTTAGGCGGGTTTACACTCGTTTTTGCACGTTTGTTGACCAAAACTTTCCTCTCCTGAACGCGATTATTCTGCATTCAGGAGAGGGACATTTAACTGTCTCTAAACTCTGATAAAAGCCTAGGTGTACATGGACACGTAGGCTTTTAATGAGTTGAGTTCAGGGGCTTTGGAAAAAAAACGGCAACAGCTCCTAAACTCACGTTTAGGAGCAGCATTGTACATGAGGCCTTAGGACGTTTGGAGGCATATTTTAAGCTCAGCGTTTAGAAGCAGAAAAAAAACCCCTTCTGGTTTGCGTTTTTGAGAGGAGTTTTCTGGCAGAAACAACACTAACTGGTTCTAAACGCCTGTACAAAAACGCTCTATATAAGCATTTTTTTTCTACCAAAAGTACTGCAGTTTTTTTAAACCCAGTGTGCATTAACCGTAAAGAAGTTTGTATTAGAGTTAAGAGCATTGTATGCATTGTACTAACAACAGTCATAATCTAAAATATGTTAACTTTCATTATTATTGCCACTACAACTCTTGTTTTTTTTCTCGTATTACTGACTGTAGGGGTGGGAGGACTTAGAATTTACACTGAGGCTCTGAGATCTGTGATGCTGAAGCAAACTAGGGGGCTATTAAAGACAGGGTACTGGAGCTGGAAATTCTTAGTTGCCTCTGCAACTTTTTTTTAACATTTAACAATGTTGACATCTTTCCTGCTACCTGTCCCGCCCCAGATACAGACATACTTTACATTAAGATCAATGGCAGTTGGAGTCTTATCGAATTCTTGCTACGGGGCTCCATGTGCTGATCTCATGCCCCTTCAGTATCTTAATCTAATACATCACTACAACACTTTGCCTTCATAATAAATCATTTATTTGCTGAGAAATCTGCAATATCAAAAATTTGTTTAGTTGCTGTCAACTTTTTACTTGTCACAATTAAGTCAATACTGCCACCCTGTGTCCATAAAAAAAATTGAGGTTAGAAGTTAAAAAATGTCTAGTGAACATTTTAAACACCTTTTTAAAGAGAAAAAAAGATTCATCATGGTGGAGGTTGTGGATGTGAGATCTGTCTAAAAACATTAGACTACAGCTAGCCATGCATGCATGGCATGGGCAACATCACATCAGGCAAACTTGTATGTTTTTGTCTATTCAAGAGGAAGGCGAGCAGTGTGGGTGCTGGCATACTCGTTAGAAATTATTATTATACAGGATTTATATAGCGCTAACAGTTTGCTCAGTGCCTTACAATATAAGAGTAACTAACCCAGGTAAACCCATACATTTTTCCCAAGTTGGCCTGACCAAGGAGCATCAACCCAGGTCATGTAGGTTCCTACTAAGAATGAGGTTTGAATTAGTCATTACATTGCATTCAAAGTGAATCTTGCAGGTTCAAGATCTGTGGGGTGATTTTTTTTTTAACCATAATGCACTACATAGCCTTTGAAACGTGACCAGCAGGCTTAAAAGAGCAAATAGGATGGCTTTTGGATAAGTCAGCTACCTCACTATAAAAGGGAAGACAAAATGCTGCCATAGTGTACCGTGTATTGGAAACTGTGTCAGTGTATTGGAAGTGATTAGGAGTCTATACTTAAGGGTTCATGGACACAGATTAAAAGAGGCATTTTTCTATGCTTTGCGTATATATCCTGTCTTTTTTCAGTGCTCAGGAGCCACATGTACCACAGTCTACAAGCCTGGCTGTACACAGCTATATTCCTGTAAATTGTGCTATTTTTTTTGGAAAGCATTAGCATTTACTTGAGCTTGCATATCCATATTTCTCAAAAGCTAAACTTTCATTCTCTTGTATGGTAGGCTGTATATGG